GTAAATAATAATAAAAAATTAATAAATAAAGGTAGTATCATTACTTTATTTTATTTATTTATATATTTATTGTACATGTAGAGACTTCAGTTTTTGTTATGGAAATTTACCCTACAAGATCAACTGTGGCGGTACCATGGTACAGTGATGATATCAGATGATAATACCATGGTATTTCCATAGTACTCCAAACTAACTACTTCTAATAATATCACAGTATTACCATTGTACATGTCCAAAAACCAAGGTAGTCCAAAAACCATGGTAGGTTTGGGTACACGGTAATAGCATATAACTGAATGATTACCACATTCATATACCATAGTATTGAAATTATGCCTATCAGGGTCCATACTGATAATAAAACATGGTATTACCACAAAAATGTCCAAAATAGTAATATCGTGGTCCTACAGCTTTGGACAGTATATGTTCAAAAACCATATTAGTAGTATGGTAGTTTTGAGAACTTTGTATCATGGATTACCATATTCATATACCGTGATACTAAAATAATACAGAAAGAAGCTTTCTTAGAATATCATGGTATTATTACCACAGTACCACGTCAAAAACAATATTACCATGGTACTTTTTTGTGCAAGGAAAAATAGCAGAACAGCATTCCCAAGCCCAGTGCCAATACAGTGAGTCTAGATACACATCTCTTGGCTGTCGGCCGCGGCTCTTAGCACTAAGCTAATAGGAGCGCTCCTTTTATCATGATGCAGGAACCCGATACTGCGGATGAAATGTGGGGCACGAGCAGCCTGCGCTGCTCTGTCAATCAAAACACCTGGCATCACCCTTGAGCGGCCCATGCCAGTTGGTCAGCTGGGGAAGGTCATTAGCTGTGTGAGAGTGTGTGTGTATGGAGTAATATAGATCTAAATTAAGCTTCATGTCATTCTAAAGGAGTACCGTTGGACTTGACCTTTGCTTCTGATACCACACAATGTATACATGTATTCATCATTTATAATGCATTTAATTTTAAGCGAGTAACTACAGCTTCTTCATCATCAATGATCAATAAAATCTTGCCAATAGCTAATGAAGTCATCTAATGTAAGTATAATAAAGTGCGATGCAATAATAGCAAAACAAAAGATTTGAAGAAGCATTACCATTAGAATAGACTGAGATGCTCTGGACGCTGAACCTGATCTTCTGTCTCCACATCCTGGTCCAAAAACCTTCTGGAAACCTTCCAGGGTAAACTCTCACAAATGTAGTCCTGCCCTACATTTATTTATTTATTTATTTTTAATTACATATGGTATTTAACAACAACAACAATAAAAATAAATAAATAAATAAAATAATAATAAAAAATAATCATCATAATAATAATATTAAACTTATCACATCACCTACTCAAAATGACTGTAAAAGCCAACTATTGGTTTTAAAAAAACTTAAATATGGATGACCTTAGGTTTATAAATATTTATATATCATAAAATTATGAGGGGCCAAACAGGAATTATTTGTATATGACATTTAAATACACGCTGTATATTATAAATATCCTAAATATAATGTTAGATTCATAAATATTTAAATCCATAGCTATATATTGATTCTCATTTGATCTCAATATATATTCACAGTTAAAATTATATATTCAAGTTTACATCTATATATTCAGATTTTCATTTATATATTCAGATTTGCATCTTCATATTAAGATTTATAACTATATTTATAAGATTTATAATTATAACTGTACTATAATCTTTCATCAAAGTGGTGCTAAAACCAAAATGCGTTCTTCAAATGTTGAGTACTGTATGTACACACACACACACACACACACACACACATATATATACTGTATATATAAAGAGAGAGAGAGATTGTTTCTTCAGACACACACACACACACACACACACACAGACAGACACACACACACACACACACACAGATACACACACAGACAGACAGATACAGACACAGACACAGACACATAGACACACAGACAGACAGACAGACAGACAGACACACACACACACACACACAGACAGACAGACAGACAGACAGACAGACAGACAGACAGACACACACAGACAGACAAGACCGACAGACAGACAGACACAGAGACACAGACACACACAGATTTCATATATTTCCTGCTTGGCAATTCATAAAATATATACACTTATATATGTACATGTGGAACTTGATAACTTACTGTATGAATCTGCAGGCTAATTCCAATGAATTCTGGGTGTCTGGGGGAAAAGGATGCAAGAACAGTTACTTATTTAAGCATGTTTATACTGTATAATACTCAAGATTGAACAGTACTTGGACAATGGCAGAATTGCAGAAGGATTGCAGATTTATGGGTCAAAAGCAGGCCAGATGCCTTCACGTTCTCTATAAAACAGGTGTGCTTTTAGCAATTACATGACATAGTCATGACTGAAGGCACTTACATGCAATATTTAAGGCAGGTGAAGGGCAGGTCAGTGCTTTCCTCTTCCAAACACTCTAGCTGGTCTCTTCTGAGGCTCCGCTGATAATGTCTCACTGGAGTCTCTTATAATGGCAGCTTAATGAAATGAGCAAAATCCACTCAACTGGCAAGATTAGCTCGGGTACGAGACTCGCCAATGAAAGGAGGGGACATAATTGAAATAAACGAGTGATGACTGTGAAGGACAAGACGACAGAGGGATGAAATGTGCATTTCATTTTCATAGTGAGGTCATCGGGAGCTTTGAGGCCATTACCAATCCTGTTGGGAATGGTACATCATCATTAGTATATTAAATAAATGTGTTATAGTGAGAGGTCCAATACCTCAGAAATAATAAGTCTCAGCATCATATTTAATACTTTAATGTACTGAACTTGAATAAAGGGGCCATAAGCTACATACGTACATTATACACACCCATATCAGGATTATTATTATCTCAAACCATTAAATAATAATAATAATAATAAAATAGTAATTATAGTAATAAAATAAAACTAACTGAAATAATGTTTTTTGACAGTCTATACATATTGTATATTGTAATTACATTTTTGATTTTATTGTAGTTAATGTTAAGTACTAAAATAACTAAAGCTCAAAGCTTTAACCTAATATATATATATATATATATATACAGTGGGTACGGAAAGTATTCAGACCCTCTTAAATTTTTCACTCTTTGTTATATTGCAGCCATTTGCTAAAATCATTTAAGTTAATTTTTTTTCCTCATTAATGTACACACAGCACCCCGTAAAGAGTGAAAAATTTAAGGGGGTCTGAATACTTTCCGTACCCACTGTATATATATAAAACATTTTTTTAAATAAAAACAAAAACTAATAAAAATGAAAAAAAAACATTACATTTTAAATGAACAGAAAATCCACAAAAATATCTACATACTATTAGAACTATAATCATATATCTAACTAAATATCAATGAAATTTACCTTCAATGAGACATTAGATACCATAAATCCCTCTAAAAATACAAAATAATAAAAAACATTAAACTAAAACATAGTACATTCATTTAATTAACAATAATATTCATTTCATTTCACAATAATAAATAACTATATATATATATATATATATATATGTGTTGTCAAACGATTAATCGTATCCAAAATAAAAGTTGGATACGCATGTATATATTTAAGAAAAATATGTTATGCTTCTACATTTAAAATATTTGTATATAATATCAATATGAAAATAAATATACACATGGAAATATTTTCAAAATATATACATGCATGTATGTGTATTTATATATACATAATAAATATACACCGTATAAGCACATATATTATGTAAATAAAAACTTTTATTTTGGATATATATATATATAGGGTTAAGACGGTTTAATACATTTTCTGTTGATAATTGGGCCTGCAGAAGCTATTTTCTTAACCATTTTAAAGCAATTTAGCAAAAGTCTACAAAGTATATTAATATGTAGTATATATTAAAAAAGCAGGTAAATGCAGTTGGAGCAAGAAAATGCTGTCCCTTTAAAATGCACTGCAGCTCATTGATATCCGTGGCTGGTGGTCTTCTAAATAATGAAGATTAAACTGACATCATCACAGTTATTATCTCTCTTTTCAAATTTGATCAACCTTTTGTTCGACAGTGTTCTCACAATTCATTTATCCCCACCTAACATCTCTCGCTCTTGTCATCCACGGGTTAATTAAACTGAAATTCTGCCCCGATACATGCAAACACTTTAATGCCAAATTTCCTAATCAACCAAATTCCCCAAATAGGTCCATTAGGCCCTAATAACTTCAGCACAGCCCTCCGTAGCTTCATTGGTAGAGGATGAATTAGCACTAATCATCAGGAGTAATTATCAGTAATGTTAGATAAGTATGTTCTCTCAGTCATCATTATGAGTATGAAGCTATAAGACTGTACAAGACACAATGAACACCAAACAGCTTCACATGACTGAACCTGAAACTTGAACCAACACACCACTTTATTTACACACAAACTTACACAGATTCATTTCAAATAAAAAAGGTACCAAAATGTCATAGTTAATAAGAATTCATGTCATTAACATTTTATTTACTCCAAAATGTAGGCCTATTCATTTTTGGTTATGGCATGTGTAATGGAAGCACACACATTTCTTTTTTTTCTTCTTTAAAAAATAAAACAACAAGAATAAGCTATCAAAACAACAACAGAAATTATAGTCATCCATGTCATTTGATTTCACAAATTATGCAGACCAGCATTTTGATTTTCATAAAAATATAAGAGAGCAAAAAACAAATAAACGAACAATCAAAAACAGCAAAATAAAGAAAATTACACATTTTTTTGTCTCTTTTGTTAGGTTTCAAAATAAATTTGACAAAAAAAATAAAATAAAGAAAACAAGTATAAAAAGATTAAATAAAAATATCTAAAAATCCAAGCAAGATAGTAGATTTTCCATAAGCATTGAACGAAAAATGTGATATAAAAATATAGAAATTAAAATCAACTTTTCAATGACAAGACAGACATAACACCAACTGATTATTCATGCAACTATTTAAAGTTAATAGAGTCGCATATGTGTAAAAAATATCTATCCAGCCACTTTCCTGTAAACCACTTCATTCAGGCGATAAATGTGCAAAAAATCTCAACTTAAATTGGGTGCAAAAATTCAGTGTTTGCTGGTTCTTGTAAGATCCTGTTTTGACTGGCAATATATCTCCTATCCATAATAAACAGATAATTTTACACACCAAGGACATCAGGAAGTCTTGTTTTTAAAGCAGTGATCCAACAACAATGATTGTTCACTACAAGAGCCCCGTGTATAGAGCGTTTGCACCAATGGGGCAGCATCTCACGTCGCAGAACTACCAAAAAAAGGCTGAATGGGAAAATAAATACCAGGAATGTAAAAACCTCAACCTAATGTAAAAGAAAAGACGTGACAACAAAAGCCCAAAACAGTTTGAGACTTTGATATCGGATCAGCTATTTGTGTAACCTTGTCCGTTTTGGTGTTTTTGGGCCTCAGAATGGCTTTACTAAAATCAATCAAGGAGGGAGGTGGTTGAAAGAGAATATTACCCTCAAAACATCGCATGAAAAAACACTTTAGGATTGATTCACCGAGTAAAAAGTTAATGGCGTGTTTTAGGGGGACAAAGTTACTGCAAAGGCAATCAAATTCTGAAAAACATTTCTTAAAAGCAGAAAAAAGTAAACTGATGGTGAATTTCTTCACATTTAAAAACTTCCTACCAATCACATCCTCCATGCATTACTCATCAGGGGAAGAAATGGCCATATTATCCAAAGCAGATCATCATATTAAACATCTGTGTGGTATACCGAATTAAATACACGCTAAACATACATATATACAAACCCTATGTGCTTCTGTAAGCTGTAACTTTTAAACGTAACTGACTCGCCTTGATGTTCCGAACTGATGCTAATTAAGAGGAAAAATGGCTGGCATCCGAAACAAATCACAAACTTCACTGAACTAGTTCAATTTGGAGTAATCGATGGCTGTATCAAAGCGATTTGGTTTGCTTTTTCTTCTCATAAGTCTAGGAAAGCTAATTAGATTGTTCTTGTAAATGGACACAATTACATAACCACATAACTTTTTCAGCACCAGCCTCGTCTAGACAGCGCCGATCATTGACTTTTTCTGCCGGGGATCTTGGTATTGTTCATCTCCGTATGGGCTGTAGCGATCAGGGCTGGCCGTCCGATAGTTCCCCTGGTTCAGCGTTTCATATCGCGGTGGTGCTCTGGCACCCGGGGGGTTCAATGAGGGAGGGACGTCCTGCCTCACGGGACCCCTCTGTTGAGCTGGAGATGAGGGATAGTAACCACCTGTGGCCTCTGTGGGTCTGGGTACGGGCATCCGGGGAGAGCGTGGAGGATAGTTGTCTTGATGGGTCCCGTAGATGGGGTTGGTGAAATGGACGGGGTCTCTCTGGTTGGCCCAGTTCTGGTTCGAGTTGTCCTCCACTGGCATCCTCCTGGAAAACCAATACCACAGATAATGAAGCAACTAGTAAGGCTAGGAATAGTTCAGTCAAATATAAGAGATCTTTCATTATTTGCCCATGATGTTGTTCCATACACTCTTCTAAACGAGGGGTTTTCGCAGCAATGCCATCGACAAACAAAGAACCTTTCAGTGAACCGTTCTTAAAAGAACCATTTTTTTTCTTAGTATGAAGAACATTTAAAGGGATAGTTCACCCAAAAATTAAAATTCACCCTCATGTTGTTTCAAACCCATAAGACCTTTGTTCATCTTCGGAACACAAATGAATATATTTTTGATGAAATCCGAGAGCTTTCTGACCCTGTATAGACAGCAACGCAACTGACACATTCAAAGCCCAAAGATAGCAAGGATATCGGTAAAATAGCCCATGTGACATCAGTGGTTCAACTGTAATTTTCTCAAGCTACAAAAACACCTTTTGTGCGCAAAGAAAACAAAAATGACAACTTTAGTCAACAATTCTCCGTGTTGAAGACTGACAGGGAAGAGGAGAAATTGTTGAATAAACTTGTCATTTTTGTTTTCTTTGTGCACAAGACGCATTCTCAAAGCTTCATAAAGTTATGGTTGAACCACTAATGTCAACGATGTCCTTACTACGTTTCTGGGCCTTTAATGTGGTGGTTTCGTTGTCTATGCAGGGGCAGAAATCTCCATCAAAAATATCTTAATTTGTGTTCCGAAGATGAACGAAGGTCTTATGGGCTTGGAATGACATGAGGGTGAGTAATAAATGACAGAATATTCCTTTTTGGGTGAACTATTCCTTTAAAAAATTCCAAATATCCTTTTGTCCAATGAAAAAGATCCATGGATGTTAAATGTTCTTCATGGAACCATAGATACCAATAAAGAACCTTGATTTTTAAGAGTGTAACTTTTGTCATTTTTTCCCACTGAAATTATAAAACGATAAATTTTGAAACAAGGACAAGTTATAGTACCCACAGCTGTCAAGCTCCAAAAATTATTTCAAGACATCTTTACGCTAACTTCTTCATTTGACTTGAGATAACTCAAACAGCAATGAATGAAAATCATGCCTAATTTTTGGTGACATATTTGATTTGAGAGCTGCAGAAAAACAATTTTCATAGAAATTTTCATCTGTTCATCTCAAAGCTGTCATATGACTTTAGAAGTCTTGAAATAGAGTTGTAAGGAAATATATAGTCACAAATATATTCAAATATAAGTCTTAGTGTTTTAATGATGTTTCTTGCCCTTTTTGAGATTGACGGATGTGGTTAGGGTTTTAAAATTCTCTGGCATAAATAAAACAGCATATGGGTGTGGAACAACATGAGGGTGAGTAAATGATGGCAATTTTCATGGTCAACATAGCCATGCTGCTCTGTAGCACAACCTGACGACCAGCATGGTTCTTCTGAAGTTGGTTTACTAAAGAAGTCTTGCTGGTTAAGCTAGTTAAGAAGCCTTGTAAGGAAACCAGAGCGCCATCAGCCCATGCTAGTGAACTCGACAGGATCTAACCCTTGGGTTTCAGTCAGTTCTTCATGTATAGCTTCAAATTTGGGCTTGAAATAATAATAAATAAAAAAACCATGCAATTTGGTCTTTTTATTAACAGGTTGGATTCACATCCAAAACACAACACATGCACTTTAGCAGGGAACACTGATGCGGACAGTTTTGTTCTGGTACAGAAGGTAAACAGCATTCAAACCCCAAAACTGGAATACTTAATGCGTAAACTTCCTTCAAATTAAACATTTACATTCACTTACAGGGAGCCAATCTCTGCTATTCGCAGAAAAATTATTGCACAACTTACCATTTTCAAAGGAGTCGTGGCATTTGCGAATAATAAATAAAAAAACGAAAGAGTCTTTCATAGGCAGTCAGGGAAATTAAGCCAAACAAGATAAAAGCTGTGGCTACAGGAGGACCAAAGAAATGAATAAATGAGAGCCTAAAGCAGGGGTCTTTACAAAACGACATGAATAAATGGAGGGCATCTGCAGATTGAAGGGTAATGGATGCTATATGGAAGGAGAAGACGGCAGTATGCATTTGCATTCTTAATGTTTTCAGGGTTACAGCCTACATTACTTATCCAAATGTTGCATCCGTCTATGATCCATCCCTCTAAAAAACTAACAAGGGGTAGCAGGCAACCTTTATGTCAAAACCTGCACTGCACAACATGTGTGTGAAGGTTTCATGCGTGCAGCTTTTGATTTGATGTTTAATATAGTTCGCTCTAAAGCATGACTGCAGTCCATTCACCATTTCACCTGCCAAAGTTAGTTACAAACACAGAAGTGTGTGGGTGTGTGTAGACTGTGCACTGTACTGTGAGGTGAGTGTGTGTGTGTGGTTATAATCCGTCAGCAGTGTGTGCAGTGTGTCTGTCAGCTCTGACCACCCAAGAACAACTGAAACAGAAATACTGCAGTCTTGAGCCTAAACAGTGTGTGTGGGTTTGTTTAAAGGCTGGAGACAGATAAGGGCCAAACATAGCCAGACTCAAGACTCCAGGCTAATATTACTAATGCTTCATTTTGCTTTCAGAGTGACTGTATCGATAGCACTCACAACACAAATGCTTCTATAAAGAGTAATAATATGTTTACAGAGAACTAATAGTTAATAATTGCAGGTGGATTTAACAGCAATTAACATCTGTGAAATCTCAGGGTATGAATCCTTAATTATTCACTGTTCATTTTTTAAAGCCATTAGAAATGTTTCTAGCAGCTGGACTTTAAGTTTTATAAATGTGTGCCAATGAATCTCAGATTAAAACAACTGTCTGCTCATAAAACAAAATGAATAAGGGCCTAATTTTCCAATTTCCACCAACTTCCTCATAAAGGGGAACTGAACTTCATCTACAGATCACTTTGACTTAATAAATAAGATATATTAAATATAGATACCCCACTTACACTAGAATACACACAATATACTAGAATATGATATACTGTATAAAACGCACTACCTTGTGTATACTAGACAATCTTACATGTTTACACCTTAATTTATATGACATTTATACATCAAATACAGTAGAATATATGATACATGCATTCTATAATGCTGTACATATAATTTTGACTTGAATATAAGATAAACAGTTTAGTCTAGAATATACAATATGATATAAAGTAATTTACATATGTAACCCTCAAAAACACGACACTATATGATATATAGACCATTTAGTCAACAGCATGATATATATATATATACCTCATTCACTATAATATGACATTTACCCTGCATATCCCTGCATAATATCATCAAATTTACACTAGAATATGATAAAGTCCATCTGCACATTTCATTTATACTGTAAATACACTATAATATATCATATAAAGCCCAATTCATATACACTGTACTTTATTTACACTAGACTATATGATTTAAAAACAACTTTGTTAACTTTATTAAAACCAGATCGTTATTACTTGATATAATACAAGATAGTTTATATATACCTCAAAAACGCATAAATATATGGCATAAATCATGTAATGAATATATATATATATATATATATATATATATATATATATATATATATATATATATAGCCTACTGTTTACACTAGAATATTTGATAAATACTGAAATTGATATGGTGCATAGTCCATTTGATCAACAATATATAATATATACGATGTTTACACAAGAAAATTTGATATAGACTAAAATATCCCATTAGGTATGATATATATATACTTCATATACACTATTATACATGCATATATGACATATGACATTATCATTTATCATCTTTTCTTCAACTGAATACTGTTTCCGTGCTGTTTTGATGTACTTTAAAGAGTCGGCAGTCAAAATTAAAATTGCTGGATGATATTCTTTATGACAAATAAGATCATGTGAATTACAGAATGTAGAATGTTTTTAAAATCTATCAAATGCGGTGTACAGCGTTTATTATGAGGGGCTAGAATCCACAGCTCGGTACTCACTACTCAATACTCATGAGTACTTTTAAATAGGCTACTCTTTTACTCTTACTCAAGTAGTTTTTTGGACAAGTACTTTTACTCTACTCACACTACATTTTTTGGAAGGTAATGGTACTTTTACTTGAGTATATTTTTTCAGTACTCTTTCCACCACTGGTTATGTTTAATTGTGTTTTAACGAAAAATAAATTGCTTTTGAAAAGAAAAGAAACTAAATATTGTGCAAACACAAAATCAGTGTTAATAAAAGAACAAACTATTAAAATATGTTTTTAAATAAAATAAAGCCGAAATAAAAAATATTAGATAAAAACTTTAAAAAATAAATAATAAACAATCAATCATTTTTATTGCTAGAATTACTAAGTGATATAATTACTAAAACTTAAAAGCTGAATAGAAATGTAAGAAACAAAACTAAAATTAAATTACAAGAACATAAAAATTCCTAAAAATTAAAATAAGATTTAAAGCTAATTAAAAACATTAATAAATATTATAGAAGTATAACTATACTAGTATACTATAATAGTATAACACTAAACTAAACTAAACGAAGAGAACGATCCTAACAGAGAACAGAACTTTTCGTAAAGACACAAAACACAAAAAATACTGTAATGAAATCTAATGAAACAATAAAATTCAGTGTAACGTTACATAATGAAAGAAATAGAATGCAAATAGAATGAAACATTTTGAAAAACTAAACACTGAAAACAAAACAAAGAGAATGATAATTTTCAAACAGAAATCAAACACGACAAAACCAAACAGGGAGCGCATCTTTCAACAACAGTCCGATACGCAATAGTTGTGTACAGTCAATGCAACAAAATAAACTTTTTAAAAATAAACTGATATTTAGTTATATAAAAGACATTAAAAAGAAAGCCTTTTTAAAAGAACCATAACGTAATAAAACAAAACAAAATGTAACTTTCATTCAAACCAGCAACCTTCTGCTCATCAGCTCTGAGCTTTAACCACTACACCACATCACCATCCTCAGGTCTCGCTGAGGCTGCCGCAGACTGACTGATTGTGTGTGACTGCTGCATTATGGCTCCTACAGAGGAACACAGTATAAAATTGCTCTCTGTGACAAGAGTGATGTGACAAACTGTTTGAAGTGATCGGTTTCAGCCTTGAGGAACTTTTCGAAAAGACCGAAACAAGCACTTTTGCTTCTACTGAGTCATACATACATACGCAGGGAGAGCGAGAGCGTGAGAGAGAGAGAGACGGCGCACAGGGAAATATATGCTAATGTAACGGAGCGCAGTCATTTGAAAGGAAATGGGCCTGAATGAGCACCCCGAGGGAACCACAGCACAAAGTTCAACCCTGAAAAATGTATTTCATTTCATTTAAATAGTCCGCTCTTATGAATACATCGGGGCTTCGGGGCGGCACCGCTGCTTCGGGGAGAGCTGGGAGCCGCAGGAGGGCTGAGGTGGGAGTTTATTTTTGGCGAAAAATATCAAAACAAGATGTGGAGCCTGAGAAAAGTACAAATAAATGATTTTATATGCAAAGTAAAACTTTGTTCAACTCGCTCTGATGTCTCATTTGTAGGTGTTTTACAGGTCTCAGTTCTTGAAAATATGCTTTGATGTGGATTTGGGTGGATTTCGAAAGGACTGAAAGCTCCAAATCTAGATAAATTATATGATACAGTTTAAGTAGATTATTACCATATATGCCATATCTACTCTACTAAGATACTTCAAAGAATACCATGATTTAACTATGGTCCATGTAAAACAAAAACAAACAAAAACAAAAACAAAACAAAAAGCAAAGCAAAAAACTAAAAACAAAACAAAAAAAACATGGTACACGTCCATAAAAACATGGTACTTTTTGTTGATATCTACGGTGGCCGAGTAGTGCAAAGCAAATCACATTCTGAAAACAAAATAACAAAATAACAATTCAGAAAGCACAACAACAATTCAGAAAACATTACAACAAGTCAGAAAACACAATGACAAATTAGAAAACAAAATAAGTCAGAAAACAACGACAAATTACACTAAGTGCAAAAAAAGGGAGGAAAAAAAAGTTCGGCAAAAGACGGGATCGAACCCGGGTCGATCGCTTCAAAAAGCCAACGACACACGCTTATCCATCTGCGCCACTGGAGCTGATGGTTTACAGGCACTTTTATCTAAATGTAAATATACACTCCATATTTTTTATTCCATAGTAAGGGCAATTCATACAATACATTTAAACTGAGCTACTTTAATACCATCTCCGAACTTTCTACCAGGACTCTGCTGTTCTTCGGCTGGTTCTTCTCTGTATACGTTGATTGACAGATGTCTCGTCCAGTCAGCGGTGAGTAATCCCAAACCAATGGCGCGGTCTCAACCTATACCTACCTCTTCCGGTTTGTCTGATTTGTCTTTGTGTTTTCTGACTTGTTATAATGTTTTCTGAATTGTTATTTTGTTTTTCAGACTTGCATTTGCGTTTGTAATTTGTTATTTTGTTTTCAGAATTGTGATTTGCTTTGCACATCTCGGCCACCGTAGATATCCCTTAGCATTCAAGTTCACAAGATCTCAAAATGCAGTTTTAACTCACTTTAAGTATCTTTCTTAACAAAAAAAGAAAAATAAACCTAAACTAAGAAAACAGTTTATGCTAATGCCTCGTTCTTGTGATTAGCAACATCATTAGGAAATATTTATTTTTGCATTTGAAATTTATTTTGGACACATCTGGCGCCAACAGAAGCCAAGAAGATGTTTTGCAGAATATTGGTGTTCAAACAACATTAGATCCCACAGAATTTCTTATTGTATGAACAAAAAACAATTTTCAAAACATTTGATGATGATTTTGTGTTCTTGGGTGAAAAACCTAATTTGAAAAAAACACAACTAAACGCTGCTTTGTTGTTCGTAAACAACTGTTATGTTGTTCGTTTTAGTGGACATATCCATGAATTGCAAGACATCAATCATGTCATCGCACTTTAAAATAATCTAAACAATAATCAGAGTGCCGTTAAGAAACAAATTTGGCTTTAGCTGCCCTTTAATGTGACCCAAAACCATTTTACTTACACTGCGAGCTACCAATATTCAGACGGCTACAGTTGAGCCATGCCATATCTGTGTATGTTCCTGAAGGAGAATGATTGAAGCACTTAAGAACCCAGGATGTGAGCCAGGATAGAATTCCCAGCTTCCTGTCTGGATCCCGGTCCTCTGGGAGCAGATCAGGTGAATATTCCGGGATGAGAAAAGCACTCGGAAGGCAAACACTCAAGATTTAATTAGGGGGCTGAAAGAGGATTAGACTGAGCGTGTGTGTGTGTGTGAAGAAAGGGAAGTCCCCTCCACCTTCCCCAGTCTTGTTTTGTTGACTCTCCGGATCCAACAGTGCCACATATGTCCAGCATATGGTACAAGAACACGCAAACCTAAGCACAAGTGAAAATACACACGCAAACGCAGGTTTACCTGGGCACGGAGGCGTACAGGCGATCAGAGTCGTTGTATCTGGGAACCATTCGTGGATCAGGCCCTCTGATCTGTGGAGCACAGAGAAATCGAATTAGATTGTCACAATCTTCTAATGTGACATTTAGATGTGGTTTTAAAGGTGAAGAGTGTCATTTCTGTACACTACCGACACCAAATGGAAGAAAGCATTGGTGACTATGAAAAACAAACATTCTAAAAAGCAGACCGCACATGAAAAACATGCTTATACATAATTTGTCTCTGTTTTTAATGTCAAAATGTGAACAGACACATGCATAGGATGTGCACATACATTTCCATTCAAAGGTTTGGGATCAGTTCAATTTTTTTTTGTTGATTTTGAAAGAAGTCTCTTGATCAAAGAGGCAACAAAATCAGTAATACTATAAATATTATTACAATTTTTGTTTTCTATTTTAATGCATTTTAAAAGGTAATCTATTCCTGTGATGACAAAGCTGAATTTTCAGCATCATTACTCTACTACTTATCATTATCAATGTTGAAAGCAGTTGTGCTGCTTAATTTTATTTTATTTAATTTTTTCTGGACTCTTTGGCAAACAGAAAGTTCAAAAGAAAAGCATTTATTTAAAATAAAATCTTGTAACATTTTAAATGTTTTTACGGTCACTTTTGTATGTGGAATGTGTTATTGCTGAATAAAAGTATCACTTTCTTAAAAAAATACAAAACTTACTGACCCCAAATTTCTGAGCAGCAGCATACATGAAGAAATCAGTTTACATGAAGAGTGAAACCAATAGGCTTTTGCTTAACATGTTTAAGACTTGAAAGAAAGAAAAAGTTCAAGATGTTTAATCCTAACCTAACTTGGCTAAATTTTAAACCAGTTTGAAATCTGGTCCGGTACTTTGACTAGTCGCAGTGTCTCATAAGAGCATACACTACAATCTGGGTCTTTTTGTTGCTTAAAACTCAAACTCACGATATCAAAACATCAAAAGGCGATAAGCTTGAGAGTTGTAGTGTGCATTGAAGCTAGAATATGTCATGAAGATAGATAAATTCACATCATATCTGTATGACGACTATAAATCAAGGAGAGCAAGAGAGGGAGAAAAGAGTAAACAAGAGAGACAAATGATGCAGCTCGACTGATTTAGTGGAGAAAAGAGGTCAGTGTCTTCAGAGAAAGTCTCCAGCAAGACCATTTTCCACACCCTCTGGATGTAATATGACCCCCCCTCCAAAAACGTTATACTTAATATATGCAGGGTTCATGAATTATATATCTACCCAGTTTAATACTATAATTATCATCAGTATGAGCTATTAACTTCAAGTTAGCATGACCCTCAAAGTGCAGAGCAGAACAAAACACGAACAGGCAATGACAAACATGATACTTGATTTTTAATGCATTTTTTTGCCTCTGCAAACATGAAGGCAAATTGGATGCATTATTTTCCCATTACATCTCCTATGGTTTTGTTACGAGTACAATGAATAATTAAAGCTTATGCGACTATTCCAAGACTTTGCGAGCTTGTGTAAGAGAAATAACTTGCGTTAGACACACATGGCAGGGTTTAACAGTAGTCTCATATGACCGCAGTGGGATTGTGGGAGTGCTGCGTGTGGCAGCTCCTGACAGATGAAGGTTAGAGGCATTATGTAAAGAAGGGCAGCTCATTTCTGGAGACTATGTGAGGAAAATGGTGGCATTTGTCTCAATGAGGCGTTTATAAGTGCACGTCCTCCCGCGTGTCATGGCGGACCTGAGCACTACCCTGCATGCTAAGTGTGATCTTTAAACACAAAGGTGTCTCTCGCAGGGATCGAATGTCACCGAGAGTAAGAGAGAGAGATGACGAGGCGCACGCGGCGTAAAGGTCACATTTAGAAAAGCGAGAGATGATTGTGGGAATGATAGACCGCTGCGCACGCCAAATGATCAGAACGATATACAATTCCTCGCTTTCCTCTGGTCCTTTCAATCTTTATTCCGTCTATTCTGGACGTACAGGCGATCAGTCATGCCTATTGTCACAGATGGAAATATTTATTCTATCGCTTCTCTCTCCAACTTTTCTTTCTCCACAGATCAGCTCTCACTATTGGGAGCAAAGACCCAAGTTTTCAATGTAGAGGTCAACCTATATTTAAAATAATACATCTGATGTAAAACACATCTGAAACAAATGTGCGCATTCTTTAAGCAATAAAATTGTTGGATGTTTAAACGCTACCTTGTTGCTTGCATATAGGGCCGGTTATTACAAAACACCAGAGACTCCAGTGCTTTTTGGATCCTCCACATTACCCACGTGTTTCTCTTCACTGCCCACAGATGTTATCTCGGGCACAGGCGATTGATCTTCAGCGGGTAATTAGCATTTTAGGCAGAAAGGACAAGACGTGGGCCTGTTGCCAGACGCTTGACTCCAATTGAGAGAGAAAATTTGAAACTTTGCCACGGCAGGCTTGGTGGTCCGGGCGAGTTTTCCCCTGTGGGGCCAAAAAGGATCAACAAAACCTGCTCAACCCTGCTAAACCTCACCAAAGGGGGACACTGGGGCACCATGGCAACCAGGCTGCCAAAAACGGTGCTGTTATCAGATCAAAACGGCTGTGTGGACCGATGAAGGACTCGTGCTCTGCTGTGAATGCTGAGAAGCTGAGAAACGTGCATGTTACGCCGGCGAACTCGACTGAGACGGCAAACACTCGCCACAACAAACGTGCAAATGTTTACAAATAGGCATACGCCACTCATGTGTACAGATGCAAGGAGATTAGACATGTGTTTGAGGAGTTTGAGAAGCACATGTACAGCATGAAGGACAAGGTCATCTGGAGCTCACTGGGACTTTTTATACTTAAAAAACACAAAAAATATAAGCAAAGATGCTTGGCAATAAAAATAAAGTTACACATAGTACTTAAATAATATACCATTTATAAAATGCAAAAAACATTTTGTATCCATACATTTAAATATTTCGATATATATACACACACACACACACACACCACCTTTTAAAAAAAAATAAGAATCATTTTTTAAAATATATTTTTAAAAGTAGTATCTTATGCTCACCAAGGCTGCATTTATTTGATCAAAAATCCAGTAAATCCAGTAATATTATGAAATGATTACAATTTAAAATAACAGTTTTCTATTTGAATATATTCTAAAAATGTAAATTATTCCTGTGATGCAAAGCTGAATTTTCAGCATCATTACTCCAGGCTTCAGTGTCACATGATTCTTGAGAAATCCTTCTAATATGCTGATTTGCTGCTCAAGAAACAAACATTTCTGGCTTTACAGTTCCGTTTGAACAATTGAATGCATCCTTGCAGAATAAAATTGTCATTTCCTTAAAAAAATAAATCATAAAATTATTTTTTTTTTTTGGTAGGAATGGTGGAGTATTATACGCATGTTGGATGTATACTGGACAAACGCACATTCCACGCAAACCTGGCAGGTTTACCACTAACTTGACGGGAGCCAATTTGAAGTCCTCAGTAACTTTTGTTCTTTCTCATTACTTTTTGGTAATGAGATTCCATTGATTTGGGCTCAGAGTCGAACTCGATTCCAGAGGGAACTGGCCGTCTGGATTGAAGTTTTGTGGTTGGACTCCAACAGGACTCAAGCTTATCACACTTCTCAACAAACACAAACTGTGCTCAGCGTTTGCCACAAGAAACTCAAGCTGTGAGCAATGTCCCCAAACCTCAGCTGTGCTTCATCGCTTCAGCTGAGTGTGTGTGAGTGTGTAGCAGAAACTTCACCGGACACGCTTCTTTTTATACACCACGGCTATGAAAGCAAGTAAAACAGCCTGGCACTTCATTAAAAAATAAGAGCATATTCTCAAATATAAAAACTACAGCTTCTTCCCCCAGCTCGTTGAAGTTGAATTGCATTGTGATTGTGAACAGGATGCTGAAATTGACGTTTGAAAATAAGGAAATGGAATAAAGATTTAAAATGAAATTCAAAGAAACTTGAAATACAGTAAGAGTAGTTTTTAACTAGTATAAAAAGTCTTTAAATGTAAGATTCAGGCCATTTAATGTATGTATTTTTTATTTACATTTAATAGATGAACTTTCAGATTAATAAAAAAAAAATGGAAGACCACTTCAACGGATTTTGAATTTCATATTGTATTTTTCCTCATATTGATTTTTTTTAACTAATTCAGTAAATTGTATGGATAATTCCAATTTGATTTCCTATGTTAAAAGACAACTCACATAAATTAATTTAACTGCTATCAAGCTAAAAAGTTTTAAAAGTCTTGGAGCTGTATAGTCCTTAAGTTCTCAAAACATACTGTGAAGCTGCTTGAAGGTTGCAGGTTTTCACGACTCCTGATTTAGTAAGTGTTTATTTAAACAAATCATCTACTGAATACAATATCTTAGTTTAGTTTGGTTTAGGTAAGGCTCATTTAGTTGGCAAAGCTTTGGTTCACATCACTGTTTAAAGTCACTGCAAGGTAGACGGGTTACTTTTGTCAAAGTTTCCACAAAGCCGTCAACCAAACTCCACTTCAACGCTAAAACAAACACGTTTTAAACACGCCGTGATCCTATCGCTTGTTGATTTTCTCCCTAGAGTCTCCATGGCCGTGGTGTGTGTGGTATTCTGATCTTTGATGTAGTGCTGCCATGGCCCAATGCCCTCTAACGTGCCCTGAGAAGCCATGGTCGTGCCACCCAGACGGCCCAGGCTTGTTAGCAGCAGATGGTAGAATCATTTTGAGAGGGTAATTTAGACACAAGGCTGTAGGAGGCTGGTCATGACCTCCTCATGTATCGAGCTCAACTCAGTGCAAGAGAGCTGCTTTTGCCATCTAGCACTGGAGTGATGTGTGACCCACTGTATGTATGACATACACGTGCAATTTGACTGGATATGACATGAATATACTGCTCATTTCATCAACGACTACATTTTGTTTGATTGTAACACTGAACATTATACAGAACAATAATTCCATACAAAGCCACACAGTAGTGGTGCTTCTGAATGAATCTGTGTTGCAGAATGAATCGGTTGAGTG